CATAAACACGTAAACACATAATCAATAGTCAAATTCTGAAATTTATTGTTTTAAGTATGCTTATGAAGAAATGAAGTAAACGAACTCAACTAAAGTCAAAACATAATGGTTTAGACATCCTTACCTCAAAAGTAGCCAAAATGCATCCTCGGCTGGAAAAGTCAACACTGGTCAACAAGGGTCAATGGAGGCGGAACGGAAAACTATTTGGTGAAAATGTAGCCGACGACGAGGAGAGTAAACTAGTCCAAAGGCGTGGCTCTGGAATCCGACTCGAAGTGGCCCAAAACTCCCTCTAAAGCCTTAGATCTAAAAACTTCAAAAATTTGTAAATTATTCATTGTTCCTCCGAAAATTAAATCCTTTGACTATCTGATAGAGGACGATGAGAGGAATACTTTCCGTCAAGGAACTAAGGCCGAAAATGTGACCAATTGGCTGAAAAATGGAAGAGAAATTTGAAGCCTTAAAGAAAATAAAAAATGAAGAGCTGCGAGAGAGAGAAGCTAATTGTGGCCAAAAACAAAATAGCCATGTGGTAAACATGAGTTGAATTGATATCATATGGGGTCCACCAAAAGAAAATATCTCTTTTTTATCCTTTATGTAGCCATATACACATGTATGTACACTAAACACACCATAACACATGTCTAAACACTTTAACCTTGTTTGGTATGTGTTCTATAATGTTTACACTGTAGCGGGGGCAACAAGTTGCCCAAACTTGGAACGAAAATTGCAGAAACCAAAAAGGTAATTCAATTGCAGAATCCAAAAAGGTAATTCAATTACAGAATCCAAAAAGGCGATTCAAATTTTAAGGTTATCTCGCGCAGCTTTCAAATGGCGATTCAGGCGACTCAAAGACGCACAAGCTCGGGCTTTAAATCGATGACGCTCTCTAAAGATCTGAAGCTCTTTATGTAATTCATCTTTGGAGAAACCAGGCAACTAGAGAAAGAATAATTTGGCAAACAAAAATTGCGAGTGCCGATAACAAAGACCAACAACTCTGACGATAGCAGTGACTGAGCAATGAGGGCCAGCGGCGATGGTAATGGTGACAGTGACCCGATTCACTCGAAGACAACCAGAGAACAGTGTCGAATCTTAGGGTTTTGAATGCTTTTGTTTGTGTGATGGGTATAATTGGTGGGAAATTTGGATTTGCAATTGAGAGTGGTGATGGGTGGTGGTTGGAAGAGTGGTGATGGGTGGTGGTAGTGAGTTTTGCGAATTGGTGGTAGGAGTGGAAATTGGTTGTGGCAATGGGTTTTGGGAATTGGTAGTGATGATGGATGGTTTGGGTGATTGATGGAAGCTGTGGAGATGGTGATTTGTAACTGGTTGGTGATGGTGGCTACAATTGTGGTGATCTTTTGGTGATGGTGGCTTCAATTGTGCAACTCTTACTACAGGAAAGAAAAAATAAATAATAAAAACCGAAAATAAAATTGTTCTTATATTTCTTGAAATGAAGTAGTTGCCAAACATGTTCTACCATGTTTCTGTTCCAAAATTCTCTCTACATATTTTCGTATCTAAACATGTTTTGTTCTCATCTCAGAACACCCCATAACAAAACACTTGTTCTGTTCTAGGCTAAAAGAAAATGCCCTGGAACACAATGTGTACCAAACGGGCCCTTAGGGCATGTTCAGTATCTGTAATGTTCTATGTGTTTTTGTTCCAGGCCCACTACAGTACCACTATTGAGGCCCAAAACATGTTTGGGGAGGCCTGTGTTGCTTTCAATAGCATCAAAACAACTTTCAAAATATGGGCCAAAAGTTGAAACAAGAAAATGGTGTTTTATGTTATTCCAAAAATGGACCGGCCCATTTTTCACTGTAGCGAAACAACATATTGCCCAAACTTGGAACAATTTCATAATAGGTGTAAATAGAAATTTGCAACAAAATTTAGGGTTATCTCGCGCAGCTCTCCAAAAGGCAATTCGGGTGACTCGAGTATACACAAGCTTGTATCAACCATTCTCACCCGACCATCACCCATCATCTCATCCCATCCATCAATGACGATGGAAGACACAACCCACCAGCGACAACAGAAAACACCACCACCGGACTTTCTATCTCTCTTTCTCTATTTGGACGAAGACAAGACGATGCCAATGAATTTCAGACCACCGGAATCGTTTAGGGCTTTGCTTAAGTTTGGCTTTTCTAGGTTTTTTGTTAGGTCTTCTCTCTCTCTAAAACTCACTCACTTTCATATCTCTCTCTATAATCACTAAAACCAAACCCAGATTAAACTTTTTTTTTAGAGAGGGAGACCCAATTTTGGTTTGCACCTATATATAGACCCACAAACAATTTTGGATCGCACCTATATACAGATCAACAAGCAATTTTGGTTTGCACCTATATACAGATCAACAAGCAATTTTGGGTCGCATCCATAAGCAATTTTGGTTAACAGCAGATACACAAATGCTTCGCACCAATATATAGATGTGTATATATATGTGTGTATGTGTGTGTGTGTGTGTGTGTGTGTGTAGATGTTTGATGGGTTTGTTGGTTTTCTTTTCTTGCTGTTGGTATGTTTTTTGGTAAGAATTGCAAAGAAGGATATTTGCATAGATGGGTGGTAAGCAATTTTTGCAAAATCAAAATCATAATTACTGAACTTAATTTCTAATTTTTTATAAAATATTATTGAACATGATTCTATTTGCAGAGAAAGTAAAAATTGTGAACAATCACTCTGCCAAACATGTTCTACCATGTTTCTGTTCCAAAATTCTCACTACAAATTTTCGTCGCCAAACATGTTTTTGTTTTCAACTCAGAACACCTCATTACAAAACTCTTATTCTATTTTAGGCTAAAACAAAACGTCCGAGAACACAACGCATACCAAACGGGCCCTTACTCACATAAATATACATCAAATAATAATGTATGAAGAGTAAGGGCCCTGAAAATTAGTTCATGTGCACAACAATACCGGTTGCGGGTCCCGCCCTGGACCTCTTCGCCCGAAAAACTTAAAAATGCCAAAATGATCAATAATGCATTTCTAAGAGTTTTAAACTCAAAGAAATGCTTCAACTAACTCTCGAGACTCACCCGACACACCCCACGATGTCCGGCACGCAAAATTAGACAAGGATTATTTAATAAAATAATCCATGAAAATAGAAATATTTCAAAAAAATGAAAAAAAAGAAAAATCAGCAATATTACAAAACCTTAATATTCAGAGACCCTAGCTTCTTCATGTTTTCTTATTGCTTTCATCTTTCAGGAAATTATATATATATATCCTATTTTTACTTGTGATTGTGTTGAAGCATAGACCTTGATTGATGGTAATCTACTTCTACCGAATTCTTCAACGAAAAGTTATATCTCTCCCGTTATAAATCAGAATTGAGCGTTTTTTGAGGCATTGGAAAGCTAACGAAAAGTTCTAGCCTTTTGTAAAATTTGAGAGTGTTCCAGCAAATTGATTAATATCAGAATTGGAAAGCTAACGAAAAGTTCTAGCTTATGGTAAAATTAATATCAAAATTAATTTAAAGTTGTTGTTCTACTTTTAAAGTTTAGAATCAAAGCGCATAAAGATTATTTTTAGTTGCAGATCTTCGAATCTTGAACAAGGTATGAATTCTTTATTTCATACTATAAGATTATGTATCTATTACAACTATTGAGGAACGATTTTTAAAAGCTTCGGCATTGACCCGTTTCCAACAAGTGGTATAACTAAGTGAGGATGCAGTAAGTGGCATGGGCCGGTTATAGCTCGCTGACATGGGATCGGGTCGAACGATTGAAGTATGGCCCATGCAAAAGCACCACGGAATGGGCCGAACTTGGAGGATCCACTGAGGAAGATCAAGCCCATTGGAAAATCAGGCCCAAAAGGAAGAAAACCCTTGAATATAGGCCCAATGTAATCAGTTAGTGAGAATATTTGTAATGGTCTATAAATAGACCATTACAGGTGGATGAGAAAGGGATTTGGATTCTATTGAAGTGTAAGAATTCTAGAGAGAGAAAGAAGAATGAATTTCTTGCATCTTCAATTGGCGCCGTCTGTGGGAACGACGAAGAAGATCGATTCGAGCTTGATTAGTACCATGTTAGTTCAATCAAGTTTGTGAGTACACAGTTTGATTTCTGGAAGTTGAATCCAGATCAGTGAGATTGTAGTTTGTTCAGAGAGAATTCTTGCTTATTGTGGATTCTGAGGCATTTGCTTCAGAATGACACAACTGTGATTTGCTCAATTGCAGTCAGATCTGGTGAGTTCAAAGCTAGAAAAGTTCAGATCTAGCAAACGGTGATCACGATTCGGTGAAGTTGAGCCCAGATCTAACGGAATTTGCATCGGTGACGCTCAGATCTATTTCGGAGTTCGTAATTCATGCCTTTGCTTCGATCCGGAATCATGATAGGGGGTGAGAACTCCAATACGGTAGAGAACGTCCAGCAGGTGAAACTTGATGAGTTGATGAGCATGATCGAAGCTCTCCGGAGAGAAAATGCGGATCTAAGGACTGAAATGCAGCATCAAGAAGCTCTAGTAATTCTGCGACCACTCCCGGTAGGAGAAGAAGGTGCACGTACCGATGCGGCACATCACGGCGAGGAGGTCGGAAACAATCTGATAGATTCTCACCGCGAGGAAATCCGGCGAGACGGTTTGCCGCCAAATCTTCTTCGTATTGATGATCGTGAAGAATCGACTAACGTGGATCCACGGCGTGAGCAGATCAGGTGAAACAAAGCAATGACTTTTGATCCACATCAAGAAACGCTCAGCGAGGTGAAGCAATAGAGTTGGATCGTCACAAGCTATGCCTCCATGGCACAGAGACTTTGTTGAGGACAGATCATTCGATCCGACCTATCGGCCTTCCATGACGACGTTTGACTATCACGGCTTAGAGAGGAGGTCTGAAGACCAGAGATAAAACCGCAGGGTTCCAGAGGGAAAATGAAGCACTCCGTTCAGCATCTCGAATGGTTGATTCACCGTTCACCGATGAGATTCTGAATGCTCCGAGTCAGAGGAAATTTTCCATGCCCGTTTTCATTCTGTTCGACGAAACGACTGATCCGATCGATCATGTGTATCACATCCAGTTGAAAATGGATCTGAACACTGAGAATGACTCTTTGATGTGCAAGTGCTTTCCTACGAGTCTAGCTGGACCAGCTCTAAATTGGTTTAAGAACTTGCCGAGGGGCTCAGTATATAGTTTCCGAAGCTTGTGTGATCGGTTCATAAGCCAATATTATGGAAACAAGCGTCCAGCGAAGGATATTTCGAGCCTATTCATAATGAAGCAGCGTGCTGATGAGCGTCTCCAGGCTTTCCTAACCAGGTTTAACCTTACCAAGAGCATAGTTATTGAATGTCACCCTTCAACGGTAGTTCAAGCATTTATACTGGCCATGACCCGTGGCACCCCATTCCATACAAGCTTGGTGGTGAACACGACAAAAACTATGGATGAACTCAATGAAAGAGCCAATGGATTTATGCGCTTGGAAGAAGAAGAAGCGGCAAACGCTCGGAAGACATCCATCATATCCATGGAAGAAAAGACCAAAGCAAAGATCAGGCAAAAGTAGGTTCAGCCGCAGCGCTCCTCTTGGAAATCTGAGAAGAGGACCAGAGAGGAAGAGTTGGTTACTCCATTCAAACTTACCTTAGCAAGACTATACCAAGAAAATAAAGATAAGTTCCGACCTCCTTTACCAATCAGACAACCCCTCGAACAGAGGGATCAGTCTAAGCATTATGCATTTCCTTCTGACTTTGGCCATCAGACTAACGAATGCAGAAACCTAAGGAGATAGGTAGAGATGCTGATAGCTAGAGGGGAGTTCACAAGTTATATTCAAGGCCCAATGATGGAACAGAATCGACCAATGGAGCACGTGAAGAGGAATCAGAAGTCAAATTCTCACAACACGCAACCAGTTCAAATAATCAATGCAATTCACAATCGGCCAGAGCCTGCTAAAGAGTCAGATGAACTACTTCGAACACGCCTTCGCCAGGCATAGATGAAGAGAAGGATAGGCAGTGTAAACACTCTGCACCAACAGAGCGCATCAACGCAGATAAAGTTTGACGGAATAGATCTATTGCATGTTCAGATCCCTCATGAGGACCCGTTGGTCGTAAGTTTGACAGTAGCCAAATGTTTGGTGCGCAGACTTCTGATTGATCCTGGAAGTAGTACGAACATCATACCAAGGGACACATTTGATCGGCTCGAGATCAAACAGGATCGGCTGAAATCCACCGGGAATCCTCTACTAGGGTTTGATGGAAAACGAGTGGAGCCCGTCGGTACGGTGGAGGTAGCGATACATGCTGCTGAGAGGGTTTTGATGGAAACCTTTGTCGTTGTTGAAATTCATCCCTCTTACAATCTTCTGATGGGCAGAGGGTGGATCCACAAAGTTCAAGGTGTTCCTTCCACTCTGCATCAGGTAATGAGATGCCTGGGGCCAGACGGGACCAAAGTGATTGACATTTATGGGGACCAGGTTGCAGCTAAATAATGTTATTCAGTAACGCTGAAACATGCCGGAAAGGAGAAAGCTCCCATTCGTTCAGCAAGTCTGAGATAGCAATTATAGGAGCCTCCCTCCAAGCAGAATGGGGAGGAGGAGCCAGTGGACTTGACTGAAGAACCCCTGTTTGATGTGCAGATTAATCAGTTCCGACCGGAACGAACAACCAGAGTGGGGAAACGATTCGCTGAGGAGGAAAAGCAGGAGTTAGTTAATTTCTTGTCTCAAAACGCAGATGTGTTTGCATGGAATCACCTAGATATGCCAAGGATCGATCCTTCTATATCTTGTCACTCCTTGAACGTTAATCCCAATGCAAAACCTGTAAAGCAGAAGCAGCGACGGTTTGCTCCCGAGCACAACCGGATCATTGCCGAGGAGGTTGACAAGCTGCTTGATGTGGGGTTTGTAAGAGAAGTGTACTACCCTGACTAGTTATCAAATGTTGTCGTTATGCAGAAGAAAAATGGGAAATGGTGAGTGTGCATTGATTTCACCAATTTAAACAAAGCCTATCCGAAGGATAGCTTCCCGCTGCTAAAGATTGATCAAATGGTGGATGCAACTACTGGATATGAACATTTGACCTTTTTGGATGCTTATTCAGGTTATAATCAGATCCCCATGGACCCTGCTGATGAAGAAAAAACTTCTTTCGTTACCGAACGCGGGACGTATTGCTACAAAGTCATGTCATTCGGACTGAAGAATGCCGGAGCAACTTACCAAAGACTTATTAGCAAAAATTTTAAGGGACAAATAGGGAAGACAGTGGAAGCTTACATTGATGACATGGTGGTAAAAAGTAAGAAGAAAGTTGACCATGTGAAACATCTACGAGACGTATTTGATGTGTTAAGGCAATATGGAATGAAGCTCAATCCAACCAAGTGCTCATTTGGTGTAAGTTCTGGCCAATTCCTGGGGCACGTGGTTAATCTCAAAGGCATCGAGGTAAGCCCTGCCCAAGCAGAAGCTCTGACTAAGAATTCCGAGCCAACGACGGTCAAAAAAGTGCAAACACTTACGGGACGGATCGTTGCATTGAGCCGGTTCATTTCCAAATTGTCAGATCGCTGTAAACCATTTTTTAACACAATACGAAGCCACGGCAGGCAAGTTTGGGGGGATGAATAGCGCCTAGCGTTAATTGCTCTGAAAAAGTATATGTAGAACCTTCCGATCCTGTCAGCTCCAGAACCGGGCGAAAAGCTATTTTTATATCTCGGAGTATCCAGCATCGCGACAAGTGGTGTTTTGATCCACTATGTAGAAGGGAAGCAATATCCAGTGTTCTACATTAGCAAGACAATGACTGAGGCCGAAAGACGTTATTCAAAGGCAGAGACGGTGATACTCTAGCTACTGCATGCGAAAAGAAAGCTCAGGCATTATTTTGAATCCCATCCTATCATCGTTCTAACCACTTTCCCTATCAGAATAATCTTGCACAAACCAGATCTCTCAGGAAGAATGACGAAGTGGGCCATAGAGTTAAGCTCATTTGATATCACATACAAACCCAGAACAGCAGTCAAAGGGCAAGCGGTGGCAAATTTTTTATTAGAATGTGATTCAGAGGACATGGAAGAAGACCTTCGTGGTTGCTTATGGAAACTCTTCGTCGATAGATCCTCAAATCAGATGGGTACAGGCATTGGGATCAAACTGCAGACACCAGAAGGTACATCCTTAAGTCAATTGCTTCAGCTTGAATTCGAAGCCACGAACAATGAGGCGGAGTATGAAGCATTGCTAGCAGGAATTAAGCTTGCCATGGAGCTGAAGGTCAGGAATTTGACTGCTTTTAGTGACTCGCAGTTAATCGTTCGGCAGGAGAATGGCGAGTATGAAACCAAGGATGAAACGATGGAAGCATATCATTCTGCTGTTATACGGGAGGCCAAAAACTTTGAAAAAATTGAATTCATTCAAATTCCAAGGGAGTATAACGAGGATGCCGATCGGCTAGCATGTAATGCCTTGGGTTCGAGAGAAACATTGGTAAGGGTGATTCCAGTAGGAATATTAAACCAGCCATCCATTTTCGAAGAACCTTCGGGCTCAGATCCTTGGCAAGTGAGTGTTATTCCATATGAGCCAAGCTGGATTGATCTGATCATAACTTACATCCGGGATGGTACTCTGCCTGAGCAAAGAGATGAGGCTAGGAAAATCAGAGCGAATGCTGCAAAGTACGCCGTAGTGCATAATCAGTTGTACAGAAGATCTTTTTCCGGACCGTACTTAAAGTGCGTCACCCTCACAGAGGCTCAGCAGATACTACGAGCTATTCATGAAGGTGTATGTGGAAACCACTCAGGGGGGAGATCTTTAGTGCACAAAGCAATGACGCAAGGGTACTTCTGGCCGAACATGTCGTGAGATGCTGAAGAATTGTCTAGAAGGTGCGATAAGTGCCAAAGGTTCGGACCACTGATTCACCAACCACCTAAAGACTTGCACGTAATGGCCACACCATGGCCTTTCGCACAGTGGGGGATGGATATAGTTGGTCCTCTACCAACTGCAAGAGCTCAGAACAAGTATGTGTTGCTGGCTACAGATTACTTTACTAAGTGGGTGGAAGCAAAGCTATACCCGAGCATTACTCAAACTCATGTGAGACGATTCATTTGGAGTAATATTATTTGCCGGTTTGGTGTTCCTAGGTCAATCGTCATGGATAATGGGACCAACCTTGACAGTAAGCAAGTAAGAGGGTTGTTGGAGGAATATGGAATTAATCAAAAGCTAGCGGCAGTAAGTCACTCACAGGCCAATGGACAGGCGGAAATCACAAATAAAACAATCTTTGCTTGTATCAAGAAGAAGCTAGAAGAAAATAAAGGAAAATGGTTAGATGAACTGCCGAACATCCTATAGGCTTACAGAACAATCCCAAGGCGACCAACCTGAGAAAGCCCATTCACCATGGTGTATGGTACCGAGGCAGTTATACCAGTCAAGCACTTGGTTCCGACTGTTCGAAGCTTGGCATGGAACCGAGAGCATAATGACAGTATGTTGAGGTTTAACCTCGATTTGTTAGAGGAAAAAAGAGATGTAGCGGCGGTAAGGCTCGCATCCTACCAGCAGACACTTGCGAATAGCCATAACAAAAAAGTAAAGCACAAAGACTTTAGACCGGGTGATCTGGTTCTAAAAAAGAAGGTGGGGATAGTCAAAAAGATGATGCCACCATGAGAAGGTCCATACAGAATTGCAGAAGCCATAGGAAAGGGGGCATATATCTTAGAGACCATGGCCGAAAGGCTGGTTAACAAGCCTTGGAATGCTACTTCTCTAAAGAGGTATTATCAATAAAAAATTGAATTTCAATATTGAATTTTGTTCATTTTCAATTGAATACAGGCAAATGTACAAGTTTCTGAGATTTATAAAAATAATATTCCTCTTTAAGAGGTTGAGTAAGTAAAAATGGCAAAGCTAAGTGGCAAATGGCATTCTAGCCGAGCGCCAGGCACCTAAGCAAAGTAAGTGGCAGCTGGCACTATGAGCCGAACGCCAAACACTTGCTAAGAAATAAAAGGCTAAGTGGCAAATGACATTCTAGCCGAGTGCCAGGCACCTAAGCAAAGTAAGTGGCAGCTGGCACTATGAGCCGAATGCCAAACACTTGCTAAGATATAAAAGCCTAAGTGGCAAATGGCATTCTAGCCGAGCGCTAGGCACTTAAGCAAAGTAAGTGGCAGCTGGCACTCTGAGTCGAACGCCAAACACTTGCTAAGAAATAAAAGGCCAAGTGGCAAATGGCATTCTAGCCAAGCGCCAGGCACCTAAGCAAAGTAAGTGGCAGCTGGCACTATAAGCCGAACGCCAAACACTTGCTAAGAAATAAAAGGCCAATTGGCAAGTGGCAAGTGGCATTTTAGCCGAGCGCCAGGCACCTAAGCAAAATAAGTGGCAGCTGGCACTATTAGCCGAACGCCAAAAACTTGCCAAAAGAAGTAAAAGAATGAAAGTGGCAAGTGGCGTTCTACCCGAGCGCCAACCACTCAGCAAAATAAGTGGCAGCTGGCACTATGAGCTGAACGCCAAAAAATTAGCTGAATGCCAACCATTGACATATAAGGAAGAACCAGATTAGATCGTTGAAACAAAGAGTTTGCAGAAAGAGTTTGATCAGAAGTCGGCCATCTTATTAATGATAAAGTTCAAAGAGTTACAAAAACGATGAGGTATACAGATGGCAAATATATAAAAGAAGGAAAGTCAATACATCAAAAAAGTTCTAACTAAGAAGCGTTTGCCTCGTCAACCTTTTGATGGTGCTGGACGGTCTCCTCATTATTGTTGGTATCACCATCCTCACGAGGAGGAGAGTCGAGGTGAATGACAGAATCGTTCTGTTGAGTCCTACCCTCAATAGCGTTGGAAGAATCATTCCGCTGAGGGTTATCTTTAGCAGTAGTAACAGATGGAGTCATGGTGGACAGAGGAAGAATGTCTAAAGTCAGAGCAGCAGAAGGAGTAGGAGTGATCCGGGAAGAGGCAATCTCTTGGCACTCATCAAATATGCCCTCAGCAGCGGTGGAGTCTGGATCGGCATAAATACCCGGAGGGTCAATCTCCAGTTCCTTGTCAACATCATCAGGGGTAGAACCAGTTTGACCCTCATCCGGAACACGATCGGCATAACCCTCTCAGAACCCCTGAGCATATCTGAGGGCCCCAACTCTAGAAAACCGAGCATGCAGAGCTAGCATACCACCATTTACCCTACTAATGGTGTCGAGTAAAGCATTGCGCTCGTCTAAAGCCCTTTTCTCAAAGGCCATCCGAGCGGATTGCTCATCATTCAGAAGGCGTAACAGTTCTTCCTTTTTAGCCTTAAGGGATTCCCACTCGGTATGCCAGACGCTCTTTTCGAGCTGCAATGCATTCCTCTCATCCTGAAGAGAGTCGGTCTCCTTCCTCAGTGAGTCCCTCTCCTTTTCAACCTTACCAAGCTGAACCATCAACCTGGTCTTCTGAGCAGCCAAAGTATCGTTCTCCTTGTTCGCTGCATTAAGGCTGTCAGAGAGTGCACGAACCTTGGCGTTCATAAGCTCAACCTGTTTCTACATAGCCATCATCCCGTACAGGGTCTGTAGAGATATACAGGACAACTGGTTAAGCTGAGTAGATGGTTAGAAGAAACTAAGTGTAAAGACTATATGAAGACTTATTGACTAAGAGGCAGAAGTTACCTCCATGGCAGATACGGGAAATCGGCTGAACACTTCCCTCTGAGACAGACCCTGGCTACCTCAATGTCCTTGGGAGTCCGCATGCTCCTGCAGTATGCTATAGCGGTCTGACCATCCTTGAACATGGTCTCGTTCAATTTTACAGACTATCCGTCTGTTCGAATGAAGTGAGGGTTCCATGGTGCCGTTCCTGAAGCGGAGGCATGTCCAGAAGGGGTAGGGGGCCTAGTTTGAGGAGGCCTTGCTAGAGATATCACATTCGGCCCAGAGGGCCTGACCCTCTGTGACGAAGGAACATCATCGACGCTAAGGGCACTATCAGGCTGGTGCCTTTTTCCTCTTGCCTTTTCCCGTGCGGAAGCAGTAGTAGAGCCAGGAGGATTGCTGATAGAGGGGGTCACGTTCGGACTGGCGGTCGCTGTGTTGGCGACCGGGTCAGTAGCCGTCATGGTCGGATCGATGAAAAGAGTGGTATCAGAAAGGGTAGCAGAGGAAGATGCTGAAGCTGGTGAAGAATTTGATGCAGGGGTGATAACAAGCCTGGGGGCAGTTTTCTTCCTGTCGAAGGAAAGGATCTGGAGTTGACTCATTGTCTTGCTGAAGGCTGAGAGAGCGAGGAGGTTGTCTGAAGTGAGGAGGTCCGAGCAGGAGGGAACGTTGGTCAGAACGTACTGCTTCAGGTAGTTATCCCCATCCCTGCACACACCGTAGCTCAAATCATCACAAGGAATGCCTAAGGAACGGCACAAAAAAGTACAAAAATGGGGAATGCAAATCTCGCAAGGACAGTCACTCTTATGGGTTTTGTATTTCTTGTAAGAAGAGACAGAGCACTCTCCAAAAGCGCTCGGGATAAGGAAATCCTCCGCAGCTGGAGGGAACCAGGCTCCCCTAACCCCAATTATATTTTTCCTCTAACCCTTCTCGGATTTGATTTTATCTGTGCAGATGGACCTCTTCTCAATGGGGAAAAAGTGGTAAAACGGTTCATTAGTTCTGATCTTGCTAACCTTGTAACAGAGGAGAAGATCTATGAGGTCCAGATCTAGACCTCTGTCACAAATCAGAAGTAGCATAACAGACAAAATCCTAAGGAAATTTGGGTTTACTTGCAAATGGGAAAGTTTTAGTTTGTTGAAAACATAGCAAAAGAAGGGATGCAAAGGGAACCTAAGGAGATTAAGATGAAGGAGTGAAAACAGAACCTCGCCGGGAAGAAGGCCAGCACCGGTTCTAATATTCACCTCTTGGGGGCAATTTCTAATTTGTAAATAGTCAGGGAGGTGAAGTTTCATGCGAAGAACATCTAGATCTACAGTCATGGTGAGAATGAATGAAGATTTTAAGGAAAAGAGAGAGGTCTTCCAAAAGAAAAATGCAAATGAAACTAACCTCAGAAAGTGAGAACAGCAAAGAGTACTGCAAGGTCGCTGGAAGGAGGATCTTTTGCAAGAAATCGCCGGAGAAGATTCGAACAACAGAAAGTGAGATGGAAACGGTAAAGAGAATCAATGGAACATCTATGAGGCTTATAAAGACAAGGTGGACCCGAGGGCCGAGGAGTCAGGAAAGCGAGGAGTTTTTTGAATCTCGAAACGCTGACCCCCAAATCTAACCGTCCATTCTCCTACGCGATCTTCTCGAGCCGTAAGGTCATGATTAGCAACCTCTAATAATTACCCCCTAATCAATAGGGAGTAATTATGGGGGCAGTTGAGGATGCAGTAAGTGGCATAGGCCGGTTATAGCTCGCTGGCATGGGATCGGGTCGAACAATTGAAGTATGGCTCATGCAAAAGCACCACGGAATGGGCCGAACTTGGAGGATCCACTGAGGAAGATCAAGCCCATTGGAAAATCAGGCCCAAAAGGAAGAAAACCCTTGAATATAGGCCCAATGTAATCAGTTAGTGAGAATATTTGTAATGGTCTATAAATAAACCATTACAGGTGGATGAGAAAGGGATTTGGATTCTATTGAAGTGTAAGAATTCTAGAGAGAGAAAGAAGAATGAATTTCTTGCATCTTCACTAAGCTTTCAGCTTTGGATTATTAAATTATTATTGTGAGTTTACGAATTCTCCCTGTATATTTTTCTCCCTCTTTGTTCTTGATATTTGTTAAAGTTTCACAACACACAATTGGCAAATATAATAGATAAAAAATACACACACAAGTAAAAGAAAATTTACATTACGTTGCCTAATTTGAACGACTAACTTTACTTCAAATTTGAACACCCAACACGCAATCAATACATGATAACGTGCTACTTCAAAATTTATCTTTCATCATTATTTTTTGTTTGTACACGGAAGTTTGAAATTAAAATAACTGTTTTCTCAAAGAATTTGATTTATAGTAATATTTTTGTAGATAATGTGATAGAAATTTATAGAAAATAGAATAGCCAATTTGTGTTAGATTTTATAAAAATTATTTTATTTTCTTTAATTATATTTTCTTTTATTAAAAAAACTCATAATAAAAACTCTTTTTATGTCAATTAATAAATATTATTTTTATATTAATAATTCTTGTCTAATTAGATTTCAATAGATAAATAAATAGTTAATTTGTGTTAGAATTTTATAGAAACTATTTTAAAATCTCTTTTTAATTTTTTATATTAACAATAGTTGCCTAATTAGATTTCCTTTTATTAAAAAACTCAAAATAAATTGATAAATAGGTAATTTGTGGTAGAGTTTTTCTAGTCTAATTAGATTTTCTTTTATTAAAAAACTTATAATAAATAAATAAATAGGTAATTTGTGTTAGAGTTTAATAAAAACTCTTTTAAAAACTGTTTTTATATCAATTAATGAATATTTTATATTAATAATTCTTGTCTAATTAGATTTCTTTTTATTGAAAAACTCATAATAAATAGGTAAATAGGTAATTTATGTTAGAGTTTTATGGAAACTATTTTAAAACCTCTTTTTAGATTAATTAATAAATAATTTTTTATATTAATAATATTTGTCTAATTAGATTTCCTTTTAGTAAAAACTCTTAATAAATATATAAATAGGTAATTTGTGTTAAAATTTTATAGAAACTCTTTAAATATTTTATCTTTGTCTAGTGTGATAGAGTTTTATTGAAAATAAAATATGTAATTTCTGATAGAGTTTTATAGATATTATTTTATTTTCTTTAAATATATTATTGTCTAATTAGATTTAATTTTATTAAGAAACTCATAACAAAAGTTAATTTGTGGTAGAGTTTTAGAAAAATTATTTTATTTTATATATCAATTAATAAATATTTTTTATATTAATAATTATTGTCTAATTAGATTTTCTATTATTAAAAAATTCATAATAATAAATAGATAAATAGGTTAATTTAAATTTTATTAGATAGATTTTAGAGTTTGATAAAGTTTTTTTTTTTGTATTTTATAAAAACTCTTTTCATATCAATTAATAAATATTTTTTTAGATAAATAGATACTTAAATAATGAAACTCTTTGCACATTTAATAATAATATTGATAAAAACTCTTTTTATATCAATTAATAAATATTTTTTTATATAAATAAATAAATATTGAAACACTTTAGATTTTCTTTTATTATTATGAATTTTTTTAATAATAAACTTTTTGGCAGAGCTTTTGTATTTTACTCTGAAAACTAGATTTTCTTTTACTAAAAAATTCATAATAATAAATAGATAAATAGGTTAATTTGAATTTTATTAGGTAGATTTTAGAGTTTTATAGAGTTTTTTTTTATTATTTATAAAAACTCTTTTCATATCATTTAATAAATATTTTTTTATATAAATAAATAAATATTGAAATACTGAAACTCTTTGCACATTTAATAAATATTTTTTATATAAATAAATAAATACTGAAACTTTAGATTTTCTTTTATTAAAAATTCATAATAATAAATAGATAAATAGGTTAATTTTAATTTTATTAGGTAGATTTTAGAGTTTTACAGAGTTTTTTTTTTTTTTTTTATAAAAACTTTTTTCATATTATTTAATAAATATTTTTTATATTAATAAATAAATACTGAAATACTGAAACTCCTTGCACGTTTAATAAAATTTGTTTATATAAATAAATAAATAAATATTGAAACTATTTGGCAGAGCTTCTATATTCTATATTTTATATATAAATAAATAAATACTGGAACTCTTTTGCGGAACTTCTATAATTCTGGGTCTATGCCCCTCTGAATTTCTCTCCTTATATCAATTAATAAATATTTTATAATAAATAAATAGGTAATTTGTGTTAAAGTATAAACTCTTTTAAAAACTCATTTTATATCAATTAATAAATATAAATTTTTAATAATTCTAGTCTAATTAGATTTCTTTTTATTAAAAAACTTATAATAAATAGATAAATAGGTAATTTGTGTTAGAGTTTTATAAAAACTCTTTGAAAACCTCTTTTTATTTTAATTAATAAATAATTTTTCTATATTCATAATATTTCTCTAATTAGATTTTATTTTATGAAAAACTCATAATAAAAGCTAATTTGTGGAAGAGTTTAAAAAAAAAAATAGGCAATTTGTGATATAGTTTTATAGAAATTGTTTTATTTTCTTTAAATATATCCGTGTCTAATTTAATTTAATTTTATTAAGAAAATCATAATAAAAGCTGATTTGTGGTAGAGTTTTAGAAAAATTAATTTATTTTATATATCAATTAATAAATATTTTTTATATAAATAATTATTGTCAAATTAGATTTTCTTTTATTAAAAAATTCATAATAATAAATAGATTAATAGATTAATTTGAATTTTATTAGGTAAATTTTAGAGTTAGATAATTTGTGATAGATTTTATAGAAAATTTTTATTTCCTTTAAATATATTATTGTTTAATTATATTTTTTATTAAAAAAACTCATAATAAATAGATAAATAGGTAATACGTGTTAGAGTTTTATAGAAAATATTTTTAAAACTCTTTTTGTATGAATTAATAAATATTTTTATATTTTAATAATTTTTGTCAAATTATATTAGCTTTTATTAAAAAAAAAAAAAAAAAAAAAAAAAAAAAAAAAACCTAATCATAAAAGGTAATTTGTGATAGAGTTTTAGGAAAATTATTTTATTTTTTATATCAATTAAAAAATATTTTTTTATATTAATAATTCTTACCTAATTAGATTTTCTTTTATTAAAAAACTTATAATAAATAAACAAATAAGTCATTTGTGTTAGAGTTTAATATAAACTATTTAAAAAATTCTTTTTGTATCAATTAATAAATATTTTTTATTTTAATAATTCTTCTATAATTAGATTTACTTTTATTAAAAAAAACTCATAATAAATTGATAAATAGGTAATTTTTGTTAGAGTTTTATAGAAGCTCTTTTCAACCTCTTTTTATTTCAATTAATAAATAATTTTTTACATTAATAATACTTGTCTAATTAGATTTCATTTTATTAAAAAACTCACAATAAATAGATAAATAGGTAATTTGTGTTGGAGTTTTATAGAAACTCATTAAATATATCTTTGTCTAATGTGATAGAATTTTATTGAAAATAAAATAGGTAATTTGTGATAAAGTTTTATAGAAATTATTTTATTTTCTTTAAATATATCCTTGTCTAATTAGATTTAATTTTATTAAGAAACTCATAATAAAAGCTAATTTGTAGTAGAGTTTTAGAAAAATTATTTTATTTTACATATCAATTAATAAATATTATATTAGAAAAATTAA